TTTTCTTTCTTCTTTATGGTAATATCAGTATTCCTAATTGATTGTACATGATAATGTCATATATTTTTATTATGTCTTCGTTTATTGATGCTTAGTTGATTTCCTTTGCCATTGAATTTTTTCTTATATTTTAGCATGCAACAAGATATTTGATGTTGTAATTGTGTGAACTGCTTACTAGAAAACTTTGAATTATAATTTATTTTCTAATTTATTGACTTGAATCATAGTCCCTCCATTCCTAAATATTTGTCTTTTTAGAGATTTCAAATGGACTACCACATACGGATGTATATAGACATATTTTAGAGTGTAGATTCACTCATTTTGCTTCGTATGTAGTCACTTGTTGAAATCTCTAGAAAGACAAATTTTTAGGAATGGAGGGAGTAATTATTATTAGAGTTCACTAGTTTACACTTGTTCTTGCACATTATAGAATATTAGTTTTACATATTTTTTGTGCAAGTTGTCAAGATATAATTAATTTCTTGTTATCTTCTTATGTTTTAAACAAGTCTTGTAGTTCATTCTTTCATAGAAAGAAAGTTGGGCTTCTTTTTTTTTCTTTGTTCAGTTCACTTTGATAACAACAACTAGAATTCTTTATTGTTTAGAAAGAAACACGTTCTTCATTGTATCTATTTTTATTCATTTTTTGTTTGTAGGTAACGCCACTTCTAGAATTCTTTCTCTCTTAGACTATCTTTTTTGTTTTCACACTTCTTCTTTTAGGGGTAACCCCACTCCCACGTTTCTAGTTTCATTATATTAAAATTTATTAATTTCTCACCTTTTGTTCATTTCTTGGTTTAAATGTATTCTTTTTGATTTTTTTTCTTTTTCAATTCTTTATTTATTGTTCATTTTGACTAATTTTAATATGCATTCTCTTTGTCGAATATCTATATTGCTTTATTTTGCATGTAATACCTTGATTTTCAATTAATTTCCATTAAATATAATATATAAGGATTCTGGTTTAATTCCCTCTTTTATCCCTCTAACGATCTTTATAACTATAGAGTAATATACGTGTCAAGGCAACACATGTATACATGGTGATGGTTATGCAGTGCTTTGCATATATCATGTGTGGTCATGCTCGAAGAAATATATTCTAATGCTAGTTTTTTTAGGGGATATTATAATGCTAGTAGTACCTCACTGGAGCATCCATGTAGTTGTTTGCTGGGCTTTCATCAGTTCGGTTTTGATAGTGGAACTTCTATTCTGCTGTTGGGCTTTGATCGGGATGTGTGTTGAAATTGAATGAAACTTAACTTGGGTCAACTGGCTACGTTGGATGTGAATCAAATGTTCCAGCGAGTAAAATTGACTGACACAAAGAAATTTTCAGGCACCTAAGCTATAGGTGCTTCCTCCATTTTATTGCCATTTTCTGACTGTTTTCCATGAAATAGAGGGTATCATCTACATATTGTAAACTAATAATCCTATCAGGTATCAAATTATTTTCTTTATTTAACTCGAAAAGTCTAAATACAGGCATCCAATCGATTTGATTGATGCCGTTTTAACTGATTCGTTTTCTCTCGTCGTTCTTGTTCTGCCGTCATGAAGGAAGGAATGACAGAACTAGAGCTTCCCGCAGTCGTAGTCGGCCATGTCGACCATCACTCTTGCCAGCAATCCCGACAGGAACTTTTCTCGGAGGAACTTGATCGCCGGGTTGCTGCTCTGCTGCACGAAGCCGACGACGTACGCGGCAGTGACCAGCCGGATGGCCCGCCACCTCCGCTCCTTGGCGTACTTCTCCAGGGCCGCCTCAGCGTTCCCGTGCCCGCCAACGGCGAAGGCCTCTCCGAGGCACCGGGCGAGGACGACACCATCCTCCAGCGCCGCGCAGCCGCCCTGCCCGAGCTCCGGGGTCATCGGGTGGAACGCGTCGCCGGCCACACACACGCCACCCCTGCAAATGCTGCCTTGGACCAGCGCCAGCGGCGACCGGAACCGCAGCGGCAACAACACCACCTCGCTCATCTTGCTTCGCTCCACCACGTCCAGCGCCTCCGCCGGGATCTTGGCGGCCGTCAGCCTGGCCAGCACGAGCCGTCGCATCTTGGCCACGCTCTCCTCCGCGTCCCCGTCCGGGACGGTATCAGGTGTAGTTCCAGTACACGGACGTGTCGGATTAGGACTTGGGACGGGGGAAGAAGGAAAGAGGGGGCCCGGCCCCCTTTGCCCTAAACCAATTCGGTTTGGGCCTTGGAGGGCGCGCCCCACACTTCCCTTCCTATCCTCCTTTTTCACTAAGGCCCATGTAGGCCCATTAAGTCCCCGGAGGGTTCCGGTAACCCCCGGTACTCTAGTAAAATTCTGATTTCACTCGGAACCCTTTCGATATTCAAACATAGGCTTTCAATATATCAATCTTCATGTCTCGACCATTTCGAGACTCCTCGTCATGTCCGTGATCACATCCGGGACTACGAACAACCTTCGGTACATCAAAACATAAAACTCATAATATAACTGTCATTGTAGCGTTAAGCGTGCGGACCCTACGGGTTCGAGAACTATGTAGACATGACCGAGACACGTCTCTGGTCAATAACCAATAGCGGAACCTGGATGCTCATATTGGCTCCTACATATTCTACGAAGATCTTTATCGGTCAGACCGCATAACAACATACGTTGTTCCCTTTGTCATCGGTATGTTACTTGCCCGAGATTCGATCGTCGGTATCTCAATACCTAGTTCAATCTTGTTACTGGCAAGTCTCTTTACTTGTTCCGTAATACATCATCCCGCAACTAACTCATTAGTTGCAATGCTTGCAAGGCTTAAGTGATGTGCATTACCGAGAGGGCCCAGAGATACCTCTCCGACAATCGGAGTGACAAATCCTAATCTCGAAATACGTCAACCCAACAAGTACCTTCGGAGACACCTGTAGAGCACCTTTATAATCACCCAGTTACGTTGTGACGTTTGGTAGCACACAAATTGTTCCTCCGGTAAACGGGAGTTGCATAATCTCATAGTCATAGGAACATGTATAAGTCATGAAGAAAGTAATAGCAACATACTTAAACGATCGTGTGCTAAGCTAACGGAATGGGTCATGTCAATCACATCATTCTCCTAATGATGTGATCCCGTTAATCAAATGACAACTCATGTCTATGGTTAGGAAACATAACCATCTTTGATCAACGAGCTAGTCAAGTAGAGGCATACTAGTGACACTATGTTTGTCTATGTATTCACACATGTATTATGTTTCCGGTTAATACAATTCTAGCATGAATAATAAACATTTATCATGATATAAGGAAATAAATAATAACTTTATTATTGTCTCTAGGGCATATTTCCTTCACACAATAGCCTGCCTTTGCTGATGGGGCTGAAGAGAAGGGGCATTGAGTGCAATACACTTTGTGTTTGCTGCGAACGACTTGATGAAGATGGGGCGCACTTGTTTTTCAGATGCAAGGAAGTGAAGCAGGTATGGCGCCGCCTGCAACTGGAGGATACCCGACTTCGTATGTGTGCGGGTATTGATGCAAAGGAAGTGGTTAAGATCCTCTTGGAGCTGGATGAGAACAGAAGGGTGCTGGTTGTATGCATGTTATGGTGTTGGTGGTCTAGGCGGAACAAGATAAATGCAAAAGAGCATGGCGAGTCGATTGATAATCTGCTAACCAGAATTCGAACATGCGCTTCCGACTGTCTGAACCTGTGCGTGAGCCAGGGAAGAACAAACCCAGCCAGAGAGGAGCAAAGCTGGAGCAGGCCAGAGGGGGACAATCTTAAATTCAATATTGATGGGTCTTTCTTCTCTGCAACTCGTAATGGTGGCTGGGGTTTTGTAGTACGTGATAGTCAGGGTGTTGTGAGAGGCTCAGGCGCTGGTCGCCTCGCACACCTGGCAAGTCCGATGCAGGCGGAAGCGACAGCGTGCTCTGAGGCCTTACAAGCTGCGGCTGATTGGGGTATGGTGGACATTACTATTGAATCAGACTATCAATCTTTTATGCGGGCAGTACAAAGCAATGATTTTGACCTCGCACCTGAAGGAGTTATGTTCAGGGATATTCGCCTCTTTGCCAGGCTCCACTTTAATTCTGTAATTTTCTCCTTTGCGCCAAGGGGCTGTAACATTCTCGCCCATGTACTTCTATGGGTGCACAAAGGCAATCTCCTAAACAGTTGTGGGCTGGGGAATTGCCGGATGATGTAAACGTCAGGAAGGCCAGCGTTTCTGCTGCGCCAGTGGGTTAATGGAATCGGGTGTTCCATCTCAAAAAAAAACGTTCCAGCAAGTAAAATTGATTGACACAAAGAAATTTTCAGGCACCTAAGGGCATGTACAATGGTGCTATCTTAGGAGTGTAATGTAGGATAAATAATGAGGTGGAGGAGGGAGAACTTATAAGAAAAGGCTTGTCTTCTTTTATTTAAGATAAGACAAGAGATGATATCTTAGCACAATATGTGTCACCATGTTTTTAGGAATAACTAGTTATGAAGATAATGTATAATGTTTGATAAGATAGTCTTATCTTAAGTCTTGTATGTGATTTAGAGATGACAAATTTTTTTGTCTATAATGGGTCATCTCTTAGTCTTATCTTCAATAACTAGCAATTCCTAAAAATGTGGTGAGACATATTATGCTAAGAGATCACCTCGCTAAGAAATGATTCATTGTAGACATCTTTTTTTTATCATCTCTTAATTACATGCAAGACCTAAGATAAGACTATCTTATCAACCATTATACATGCCTTAAGCTATACGTGCTTCCTCCATTTTATTGCCATTTTCTGACTGTTTTCCATGAAATAGAGGGTATCATCTACATATTGTAGACTAATAATCCTATCAGGTATCAAATTATTTTCTTTATTTAACTCGAAAAGTCGAAATACAGGCATCCAATCGATTTGATTGATGCCGTTTTAACTGATTCGTTTTCTCTCGTCGTTCTTGTTCTGCCGTCGTGAAGGAAGGAATGGCAGAACTACTAGAGCTTCCCGCAGTCGTAGTCGGCCATGTCGACCATCACTCTGGCCAGCAACCCCGACAGGAACTTCTCCCTGAGGAACTTGATCGCCGGGTTGCTGCTCTGCTGCACGAAGCCGACAACGTACGCGGCAGTGACCAGCCGGACGGCGCGCCACCTCCGCTCCTGGGCGTACTTCTCCAGGGCCGCCTCGGCGCTCCCGTGCCCGCCGACGGCGAAGGCCTCCCCGAGGCACCGGGCGAGGACGACGCCGTCCTCCAGCGCCGCGCAGCCGCCCTGGCCGAGCTCCGGGGTCATCGGGTGGAACGCGTCGCCGGCCACGCACACGCCGCCCCTGCAGATGCTGCCCCGGACCAGCGCCAGCGGCGACCGGAACCGCAGCGGCGACGACACCACCTCGCTCATCTCGCTCCGCTCCACCACGTCCAGCGCCTCCGCCGGGATCTTGGCGGCCGTCAGCCTGGCCAGCACGTGCCGCCGCATCTTGGCCACACTCTCGTCCGCGTCCCCGTCCGCCGGGGACGGGTACCAGGTGAAGTTCCAGTACACGGAGGTGTCGGAGCAGGGGAGCACGCCGGAGCGGAAGCCCTGGCCGATGAACTGCAGCATCTCCGGCCCGAAGCCGTGGCCGTCCGGGTACTCGGCGAGGCCCCTGGTGGCGGACCGCCCCGAGAGGATGGGCTTGGGCAGGCCCAGCCACCTCGCCACCACCGAGTTCACTCCGTCACACCCCACAAGAACCTGCACGCACGGATCCGCTTAGTCAGTGTAAGAAGATTTTGTTACCAACCGCAGTGCAGTGCTGACAAGAAGAGATGCGCTCTTACGTTGGCTCTGATGGTGGAGCCGTCGGCCATGTGCAGGAGCTTCACGTTGCCCTCTTCCTCGATCTCAATGGCGACCATCTTGGAGGAGTACCTGATGGTGCCCTCCGGCAGCTCGTTCTCCAGCGTCTCCAGCAGGAAGTTGCGCTTCACGCACCGGATCTCGTGAGGCACGCTGATAGAAGGAACCAATAATTATTGGGAGTATCTAGAACTCATCTAAATGAGATATAATTTGGTCCCATTCACTTGAAAATCAAGAACAAAAACAACTCACGTCAGCACACACACATCTTATAACATCACATCCAATGGCTATAAGAGGTGAATGAGACCAAATTATATCTCATCTAGATGAGTTCTAGCAAAACTGATAATTATTCGCGGTCAGATTAATGATCAGACCATTGTTCCTATGATTGTAAATTCAGTGAGCATGGTCTCGTAAGATTGTCGTACCTTTTACCCTGCATCTTTAGGCTCACTTTTGCGGCAGCCTCGCCCGTGGACGCAGAGAAGGCCACCAGCCTGCGAACAAGTACAGTAAAATATTCACTTCAGTGAGCTATAGGGACAGTGGTTTGTGTAGAGACATAGACATTTTCCACTAAAGAAAGGTTCATCTTAAATCTAAAAGTGTTTAAGTAATTTGACAGGTTTGACCATGAGCCAATTATTCTGAGCTTCACAGTGAGTTGGTGTATGTACTACGTTGCTCTGTACAGAAAAGCTTTGGTGGGTGGGATGCTTAAAGATTATGACCTCTCGTAGAGGAGATGGTGCTCCCTGATCTTGTCCCCGACACCGAGCGCATCCAGCGCGCGGAAGGCGTTGGTCCATGTGGTGAAGGCGTACCCCGACGCCCGCAGCGTCGCCGACGACTCCAGCACCACGCACCTCACCCCTTTCCTGCAACACCACCCGTTCGTCAGCTTGATCTTCCAGGCCGGAGCGAGAGCCGAACGGAACAAGAAACCCCAATCAAGAAGGCTCTTGAATTACCTGTGCAGCCCCAGGGCCGTGGCGAGGCCGGCGAGCCCGGCGCCGGCGATGACGATCTCCTCGACGCCCTCCATCTACCGTGGAGACTTAGTGAAGAGTGCTAGAGCAAGAAGAAGAGAGGGATCCGGTTCTGATGGAAGAACCAGGAGCTTCAGTGTGTGACGTATTTATAATTATAACAGCAGCATGGACTGGAAGGTGGCTGGAAGGCCGGCCGATCGAGGTGAGGAGGTGATCATCTCATCTTCACGTGACGAATTGGATGGAGGCCGTCGGTTGGATGACCGGATTCTTTCTTTCCGCTGGACGCGACGGGGAAGGAAGGCGAACTCTGACTTTGGTCCACCGCGGCGGCCGTCTACGTGACCACGTCCAGGCATGTACTACTGCCTTGGCTCTCACGTCGTCAGAGATAGGGTATGGCCGGGGAGATTCTGTCGCAAAAGGTTTCAAGATTGTTGTGCTGCTCGTCTGCGAATGCCTGTGTGTGTATAGTAGCGTGTCTCGGTCGCAAGATTTGTTGTACATGCACAGAGGAAACTGCCTAGCTGGTTTCCTTGTGCAATTCATTATTGACTAGCTAGACCAATCTGCAGGCTCCTTTTTCTTTTCCTGGCAAAGTTACACGGAATTACGACTAGCGCGTTTATTTGGATTTGGACCGGACTATGGAATTCTTTGGCAGTGAGTATAATATATATGTGGTCTGATTTGATATCCACCGTGACAGGTTGTATTGCCAGGCAGCGACCACCATGCCCGGCTCCACCGTGGTGCTCATCGGCGCCTTCATGGCCGCGCTTCTCGCCGTCTCCCTCTCCACCGTCGTCCTCTGCTCCAACCGGCGCCAGGCGTCACAGCAGAGCGTTGTCGACTTCGAGCTCGGCCTGGGGCAGCCGTGCCCGTGCGGGATCGACAAGGCCGCGTACCCGACAACAGTGTATTCGTCGGCTGCGAGCCAGATGGCTGCCGCCGCCACGTCGGTTAAAGAAGATGGCCGGGCGCCGGGAGACACGACGTGCGCGGTGTGCCTGACGGAGTATGCAGACGGCGACGACCTCCGGTGGCTGCCCAGGTGCCGGCATGCGTTCCACCGGTCGTGCGTCGACGAATGGCTGCGCCGGCGCCCAAGCTGCCCGCTCTGCCGCACGTAGCCTCCACGCATGCATGCATGCACTAGCTACAGCTAGAGCAGGGTTGCTAACACGCATGGGTCGAATGAATCACACATTTGTCTTCATTCCTTGACTTTATTTATTCACTGTACAACGCTCCGCGTGAAGCTCTAACAGACAAACAAACTGCCTCTCGTGTCAGGACCATTTCCTAGGCAGCAACAGATCATAGTGTAGCTAATTCGCGTTGGTATATGTCTCCTACTACCAACTCCCACTGTTTCTAATATATCTTTTTTTAGAGATACTAGTAAGTGTGCACGTGCAACACACGTCTATTTGGACTAATAAGTGTGCACGTGTAACACATGTTTATTTGGATTAACACATTATACTAAGCTTAATACAAGACAATTTATTCATAAATTTAAAATTTCCCCATAAAGTACACAATCTCTTATTCCCTACTCGTACAAATAATTTGAAATATCGTTTCTCCTTAATCAACATGTCTCCTGTATTAAAAGACCACCCACTTTTCCCGATGTATAAAACTCAAAATTACTTAGAAGATTCATCATAATTCTCCATATGCACATATTTATGCAAGTATAATCACACATGAAATTAAATGTCACTTAGGACAAGCTAAGAAACCGTTTCAGTAACAAACTCCAGTCAAGAATTATTATTACAATTGAGTGTCAACCACAATAGTAGGAAGAGACCTCTATGGTTTGTTGAAAAGAGGAAGCCATTATTAGATAGAGAAGTGTAGAGATGTCTTGACTGCATAGAATCAGCTGTGAAACAAGACAAAAAAAATGCGGTGGTAATGTATCCGTGTACGTTTTGTGGGGTGCACTTAGAGAAGATAATGCTTGCTCTTTTATAAGTAGTATAGAAGTAGAGACGAAGTCATAAGGATCATGATTCAAGATATTCGGAGAAACATGGTTGGTCTCTCTGTATGATGCGAACTCGTCACCTCTACCAAAGTGCTCGTGCATAGTATGTAATGTAGAGTGCAATAATGAAATAAAATAAATGATATGAGAATTTACCATGACCACAAAATATCCTACATTCATCATCATCATAATCAACATGCATCTTTTGCTTCTCTTGTATGTGGTTCAAGTTTTCTATCAGGAAAACATGTTAACTCACCTGTAGATAAGGACAATATGAAAATGCTCATGTGAACTTACAATTGCCATGTATATGCTGGACAAACAAATACACTTATGCAAACTTCGGGTTTTTAGTAAAACTTATGCAAACTTTAGTTTTTTTCACTAAAACTTATGCAAACTTCTGGGCTTTTTTTCAGTGAAACATAATTTCATGACTGCAAGTAAGGTCTTGGTTCGGCGAATTTGTCTGTGAGTTCACTATGTAGTCGTGAGTTGGCCATGTAATAACCGATAGTCAGTACTTAAAAAAACAAGGATGTCTGTTGCAGGTATGCGAAAATCAGTGAAAAATAAATAAAGAAAGAAAGAAAGAAAGAAAGAAGGCATTGGTTGCCTGAAACCCAACTGTATGTGCTCCAGCGCTACTCTGTTTCTTATTGCCTCATCTCTAGTTCCTGTACTTCTAGATGTGTCACCACCGATGAGGTAGCGATAAAAAACAACACTCAATACTTACCTGATTAGTGCGTGTGTGCGGCGTGTTCGCGTGAAGGCAAGTGTCTCCGTCATTCAGGCATGCGAGCGGCCGCGACGACCGTGTCCTCTCACCAGCTGGGTGGTGTTGTCGACGCAGGTGAGTCAGTCGTCCAGCTTTGAGGTGGCAGCCTCCACGCACCGGGGCGTGGGGAGTTCCAGTGTCCAACAAAGGTAGGATGTCTTTGGACGACGTCGTCCACGCGTGACTACTGGACAAGCGTGTCCAATGGAGCAGTACATGTCAGAGCTGAGGGAGTCGGCGGTGGCTTCGGGCGAGTGAGATCGGGCCGTGATTAGCTTCACCTGCTGCGCAGTGGCCGAGACCTGCGCCGCCCAAGGGACGACGATGGTTGGCGACCAGGCGAATCTACATGCATGGTTGTGGGGGCGAATGCCCCCACTCAATTTTTTTGGCCCACTTATACTGGTCCAGGATACTCGGGGTTGCCCCCACTTGAAGGGCGTCGGCGGTGGGTGGTTGTCAGCGTGGGTGTTGTGTACGGAGCTGAAGTCGACGCGGATGCCGGTGGTTCCCAGAGAGCATGCCCAGGACATGGACGAAATCGTTGCAGTCAGTAGAAGAGTGACATGACCTTCAAGCATAAGATAAAGGCGGTGATGGCACGTGTATGTGTTTGGAGGAAGCTGCAGCTCCTCCTCGCGTGTCTCCCACTGTGGCTCGCGTGGTTGGTGGGCCGATGACGGCAGGCGACTCGCGATCGCGATTCCCTGATAGGAGACGATAGGATGCGCTCGTGATTAGTTTTCCTAAATAATTAGATGTGAAAGGATCGATATGGTTGACTAGAGGGGGGTGAACAGGCAACTAACAATTTTTAGCTTTTCTTTAACAATTTAAACTTTGTATCAAAGTAAGTTGTCTAGATATGCAACTAGGTGAGCAACCTATATGATGCAACGAGGATAGGAACACAAGCAAGCAAATGATATGAAACAAATAAGCTTGCACAAGTAAAGGCACGAGATAACCAAGAGTGGAGACGGTGGAGACGAGGATGTGTTGCCGAAATTCCTTCCCTTTGAGAGGAAGTACGTCTCCGTTGGAGCGATGTGGAGGCACAATGCTCCCCAAGAAGCCACTAGGGCCACTGTATTCTCCTCACGCCCTCACACAATGCGAGATGTTGTGATTCCACTATTGGTGCCCTTGGAGGCGGCGACCGAACCTTTACCAGCAAGGTTGGGGCAATCTCCACAACTCAATTGGAGGCTCCCAACAACACCACGAAGCTTCACCACAATGGACTATGGCCTCGCAGTGACCTCAACCGTCTAGGATGCTCAAACACCCAAGAGTAACAAGATCCGCAAGGGATTAGTGGGGGAATCAAATTTCTCTTGGTGGAAGTGTGGATCGAGGCCTTCTCAACCACTCTCGAACAAATCAACAAGTTTGATTGGCTAGGAAGTGAGATCGGGCGAAAATGGAGCTTAGAGCAATAATGGAGCTTGGGGTTGGAAGAGATGAGTCAACAGGGAAGAGGGGGACCCCTTATATAGTGTAGGACAAAGATCCAACCATTACCCACCAACCAGCCCGCAGCCAGCGGTACTACCGCGCCAGGCTAGCGGTACCACCGCAGGGCCGCGCGGTACTACCGCTTGCTATCAAGCGGTACTACCGCACGGCTATGCGGTACTACCGTACTAGCCCGCGGTACTGCCGCAACCCCAGCGACAGCAAGATCAGATCTGACGTGTAGGAGCTGAGGGCGGTACTTCCGCAAGCGCGATATTACCGCGCCTGCATGCGGTACTACCGCAAGGCAGAAATCCCCTAGCCAGGGGGGAGGAAACATCCATGCCTACTTCCACAAAGAAATGGAACAAGCAAAAACCCGACACAGTAGTACTGCCGAGGGGCGGTACTACTGCCTGACAGCATAGCGCGGTACTACCGCGGAGCGAAAGCGGTACTACCGCGGTACGTGCGGCTGTAAAAAATTACATCCGCCCTTACTACCGCGAAGGAGCGGCACTAGCCTGATGGGCAGCGGTAGTGCAGCTCCAGGGGAGCGGTACTACCGTGGGCACCTGCGGTACTACCGCGCCACCGCATGGTACTACCGCTGATGCCTACGGTACTACTGCTTTCCTGGGAGCAGTACTACTGCAACCCAACTCAGCAGCCAGAACCAGGGAGGCGAGAAATCGGAGGAAGCTCCAAGGGACAAAAGGAGGGGACAAGAAGGAGACGTGTACGTGATGATTCCACCCAAACCTTTCCAACGCGGACCCCCTCTTAATGGTACGGCTTTCCTACGACTCAAGTCCACCAAAAAGAAACAAAGAAAAGATGTCGTCTTCAACAGTCTTCGAGGGGCACCCAACCGTCTTGTGCCTAGCGATGAAATGTCTGGAATACTCAAGGCACACGATTAGTCCGCAAACGCGTTGTCATCAATCACCAAAACACCTTAGGGATAAATATGCTCTTACAATCAGTGGCGGAGCCAGAAGAAGTCAATGAGGGAGGCCAAGTGCAGTTGAACATGGTTTGGGAGGGCCGGCGCATCAAAGTTCATCATTTTAACAGCAATTTATCACCTCTTAACATGCATATTAGGCTTGAATGAATGATGTTAAGGGGGGGCAAGGCCCCTGCTCGTCCCCTGCCTCCGCCACTGCTTACAATCTCCCCCTTTTTGGTGGATTGATGACAATACGGGATTTGCACAAGGGAAATAATATTAAGTAACCGCAAACCCCTCCTCTCTAGAATATAGACGGGCTCCCCCTAGATGTGTGCCACCTAGATGAGTGCTTTGGACTGCACGTCACACATACTAGGATCAAAGCTCCCCCTATATTATAGAGACAAGGCATATCTATCACTAGACAAGATAGTACAAACATAAGTTAACTAAGATAGATAGAGTGCATATGTCTTACACCATATGTAGGATAGGTCTCGAAGGCATAAACCAAACAAAAGCAAACGAGGCAAATTAGGTCCAAACAACAAAGCAAACAAACACACCAAGCACGACACAACGCAAATCCCTACACTCTCTCCCCTTTGGTATCGAGACGCCAAAAAGGCAGAGAGGACACCTACACACACGGGGTGGCTCAGGCAGAGAAGTCGTCCCACTGCTCCTCGTGCTCCTCGTCAGACTCAGCGGCGGGGACGGTCTCCTTGATGTCTTCCTCTGAACTGGTCCACTTGTATCCCTGCTTCGACATCCAGGCAGCCTCAGGTGTGATGACGTCCTTAGACCCGCCAGACACATCCTCTCCAAAGAGCCTCATAACCTTCTTGTCACGGCGGCGACTCTCCTTGTCTGCCACGTGAGCCATGTACTGTCCCTTTGCCTGCATGCAGAAGAGAGTCTTCATCTTGTC